AAATTCAAATTTAAATTCTTGAAGGAATTTGAGAACTTAATTTGAAGGCTCATATAAAAAAAATTTAAAAGTTTCTTTAAAGAGAATAATAAAAAATATTCGCCATATACTAAATGAAATTAGAAATCTATACATTTAAAAACATTGCGGAATTGGTTTAAATAGTGATAGAGAATGATGTTGGAAAACTCCTATGGGCAAAGAAATATCTTGCATTTTTACTTCACACCATATACACACCATGTATTTCATGTGAATTGAAAGCTCAAATTTTAAAATATAAAATCTTAAAACTCTGGGAGATCTGTGCTACACAGTTATGTGAGAAAGGCCAATTTTACTAACTATATATCATGCCATTTTTTTGCATTAAAAATAGTGCCTAGCTCTAACAGCAAGGTCAGTATGCATTTATTCGACCAAGAACATTATTCAGAGGAGGATGCAACACAGTGATGACATTTTTAGCATTGTTAAGATTGAAGTAGGTGAGAATGGAGAGATTGTTGGATAAAATATTAAATTATGAGAGCTGGTCCAATAATGGGCAAAATCAAAATATTCAAAATACAAAAGCTTCCCTAAATGGCATAAAAATATTAATATAAAGCAACCTTAAGCAAAAGAACAAACTGGGAGGCATCAATTTACCAGACTCCAAGCTATATTACAATGCCATAGAAACCAAAACAGCATGGTACTGGATTGAGAACAGAGACATAGACCAACGGAACAGAACAGAGAACCCAGATATAAAACCATTCACTTATTACCATTTGATGTTTGACAATGCAGACAAAAACATACCGTGGGGAAAAGAATCTCCATTCAATAAATGGTGCAGGGAAAATTGAATAGCCACATATAGAAGACTGAAGCAAGATCCACACCTCTCACCTCTCGAAAAATCAACTCATGATGGATAACAGACTTAAAACTAAGACATGAAACCATAAGAATTCTAGAAGAAAATGTTGGAAAAACTCTTCGAGACATCAGCCTAGGCAAAGAATTTATGAAGAAGACCCCCAAAGAAATCACAGCAACAACAAAAATAAATAAATGGGATATGATCAAATTAAAAAGCTTCTGCAGAGCTAAGGAAACAATCATTAGAGTGAATAGACAACCTACAGAATGGAAGAAACTATTTGCATGCTATACATCTGACAAATGGCTGTAACTAGAATCTATAAAGAACTCAGGAAAATCAGCAAGAAAAAATCAAACAACCCCATTAAAAAGTGGGCAAAGGCCATGAAGCTTTTCCAAAGAGGATAGACTAATGGTTAACAAACATGAAAAAAATGCTCAACATCTCTAATGACAGGGAAATGCAAATCAAAACCACAGTGACATATCACTTAACTCCAGGGAGAATGGCTTTTATCAAAAAGTCCCCAAACAACAAATGTTAGTTAGCGTGGATGCAGAGAAATAGGAACACTCATACACTGCTGGTGGGACTGCAAACTAGTACAACCTCTAGGAAAGTAGTATGGAGATACCTCAAAGAACTAAAAGTAGAGCTACCATTTGATACAGCAATCCCATTACTGGCCATCTACCCAAAAGAACAAAAGACATTCTATAATAAAGACATCTGCACTGGAATGTTTAGAGCAGCACAATTCACAATTGCAAAGATGTGGAAACAACCCAAGTGTCCATCAATACATGAGTGAATTAGAATTAATAAAATGTGATATATGTATATCATGGAGTTCTACTCAGCTACAAAAAACAATGGTGATCTAGCACCTCTTGTATTATCCCGGATAGAGCTGGAACCCATCTTACTAAGTGAAGTATCTCAAGAATGAAAAAACAAGCACCACATGTACTCACCATCAAATTGGTATTAACTGATCAACACTTATGTGCACATATAGTAATAACATTCATCAGGTGTCGGGCAGATGGGAGGGGGCAGGAGGGGATGGGTGTATACACACCTAATGGGACTTGGGTGGGGCAAGGGCAATATATGCAACTGAAAACATTTGTACCCCCATAATATAATGAAATAAAAAAATTTAAAAAAAGAAGGAAGGAAATAATAAAGATAGGAATAGATATCAAGGAAATTTAAAATAGGAAAATAATAGACGAAAATCAATGAAAAAAAGCCGGGTAGGGCAGGTCGGAGGGGGGAAAAGGGGATAGGTAAATTCACACCTAATGGTTATGGTGCGTGATGTCTGGGGGTTAGGCAAACTTGTATAATAGCTCCGACTTGGTCATGCAAAGGCAATATATATAACCAAAGCATTTGTACCCCCATAATATAGTGAAATTAAAAAAGCTGGTTGTATGAGAAATCAATTCAGTTGACAAATCTTTAGTTACATTGACAAAAATAAACAGAGAGAAGACACGACTCACTAATATTAGGAATAAAAAAAGGAACATCACTATGGATCTTATGGCCAATAACAAGATAATAAGAATAATATGAACAAGTTTATACTCATTAATTTGACAATTTAGAAGAAATGAACCAAATCATCAAAAAGCACAAACTACCAAAACTTCACCAAGATGAAATAGGTAATCTAAATGCCCTTATAACTGTTAGAGAAATTGAATTTGTAACTAAAAAGATTTTGAAAAAGAAATCTCCAAGGCCAGATATTTTCACTAAAAATTTCTACCAACCATTTAGAAAAGAATTAAGATCAATTTACATAGTCTCTTTCAAAAAATATAAGAGATGGGGACACTTCCCAACTCATTCTATGAACCTAGTACTCTGTTATCAAAACCATACAAAGAGAGTCCAAAAAAAAAAAAAAACAAAAAGAACCTAATAATTAATTAAAACCAATATCTCTCATAAACTTAGATGCAATAATCCTCAACAAAATATTAGCAAATAGAATCCAACAAAATATAAAAAAAATTATATCATGAGCAACTAGAGTTTAATTCCATCTATGCAAAGCTGGATCAATGTTAGAAAATCCATCAGTGTACTCTACTATATTAATGATATAATCGATATGACTGACAAAATGATATAATTGATATTATAATATCAATTGGTGCAAAATTCATTTGACAATATCCAACACTCATTCATGTAAAAACTCTCAGAAAACTAGGAATAGAGAGTTTTTTTCCAATAAAAATGAAGTCCATCTACAAAAAACTGCAGCTAAAATCATACTTAATGCTAAAAGATTGACTATTCTCACTCTAATATCAGGAATATGGAAAGAATGTCTACTCTCACTGCTCTTATTTAACATAGTACTGGAAATTCTAGCCAGCACAATAATTTAAGGGGCAAAAAGTCACACAAAATTGGAATGGAAGCAATAGAACTGCCCCTATTTGCAGATGGAGAGAAAACCATGTTAGTTGATTGGAAGATTAAACATAGACAATGTCAATTCTACAGGTATACTGGTTTAATAAAATTCCTATAAAATCCCCATCAATGCATATGTGTATGTGTGTGCGTGTGTGTGTGTGTGTGTGCATGTGTGTATAAAGCTGATTCTGTGTATGTGTATATATATATATATATATATATTGTATTGTAAGAATGGAAAAAACAAACCCAACACCAGATTGGAACTAATTGATCAATACTCATGTGCACCTATGCTAGTAATTCAGTGGAAAGCAAAAAGGTGGGGGGGGGGAGAAGGGATGGGCAAATTTACACCTAACGGGTACAATGCACACTATCTGGGTGATGGACACACTTATAACTTTGACTCAAACTGTACAAAAGCAATTCATGTAACCAAAACATTTGTACCCCATAATATTCTGAAATAGTAAACCCCCCCCCAAAAAAACACTGACAGGTAAGATTTGAAACTAAAACTACTAGAAGAAAACAGAGGGAAAAAGCTTCTAGACAGTTATCTGGGCAATGATTTTTTGTATATGACCGCAAAAGCACAGGCAACAAACATGAAAATAGACAAATGGAATTACATCAAACTAAAAAGCTTCTGCACAGCAAAGGAAACAATCAACAGAGTTGTTACTGAAAGCTCTGCACTTGTCCTCAAGGTCACATCAGAAGAACAAGAACAAGTTGTTTGAGGAGAAGGAAAGGTAAGTTTATTACTTTGCCAGCAAAGGAGGCAAAATGGTAGACTCCGTCATCTCAAAATCCAAATTTCCTGCACATATGCTGAAATACCGAGACTTTAAAGAGAGGGTCCTCAGTTTTAGGCTACTGTGTTAACGATTCTAACTGTCCCATCTCTGCTGAAGACAAAGCCTGTAACCTCCACCCACCTGGGCCCACCTGGGCGGCTGGCACAGGCCTAGGATGACTGAGCTATCTCCTATAATAAAAAGAACAAAAGACCTTCTCCTGCTCCAGGGATGCAGTTCCCAAAAAGAGTGGTAGAAGTTTTAAAGAGACAGAAAATATTTTTTCCATTTTTTTTCAGGCCATTTCCTCTGTTACATATTCACCCCACTGTCAATATTTCCCTTCTGTATCTATAGGAGGAGGGGTGACTACTCTGTTACAGAGTGAAGAGAGAAAATATTTGTAAACCATACATCTGATAAAGGGTTAATATTCAAAATACACAAGGAATTCAAATCATTCAACTGTAAGAAAACAAATAAAGCTATTTAAAAACGAGCAAAAACCTAAATAGACATTTCTCAAAAGAAGCCATACATGTGGCCAAGAGGTAAATGAAAAATGGTTGAACATCACTAATCATGAGAAAAATGCAAATTAAAACCACGATGAAATATGACCTCATACCTGTTAGTATGGCTATTATCAAAAAGACAAAAGATAACAAATGTTGGCAAGGATGTGAGGGAAAAAGAACACTTGTACACTGTTGGTGTGAATGTAAAATTAGTACAGCCATTATGGGAAACAGTATGGAGGTTCTTCAAAAAGTTAAAAATAGAACTAACATATGATTTAGTAATCTCACTGTTGGGTATATATGCACAGGAAATGAAATCAGTATGTCCAAGAGATACCTGCACTCTCATATTCACTGCAGCAGCTCTTTTACCAAGAACCTGCCAACACAGGCCACGATTTGTACCAAAACTGTGAGGAAGGTGGCCCAGTTATCACTGAAAAGTACTACAGCCACCTAGACAATGACTTCCACATGAACAATCACATGTGCAAGGACATCGCCATTATTCCCAGCAAACACCTCCACACGATAGTAGGCTACGTTAAGTATCTGAAGAAGTGCATTCAGAGAGTCCTGGTTAGAGGTATTTCCATCAAGCTGCAGGAAGAAGAGAAGGAGAGGAGAGATAATTATGTTTTTAAGGTCTCAGTCCATGGACCAGGAGATAACTGAAGTAGATCCTGACACTAAGGGAATGCTGAAGATTTTGGACTTTAACAGTCTGTCCAACCTGCAGGTAGGTGACTAGCCTAGAGTTGGGATAAATTTCAGAACACCATAGGGAGCTGTTTGAATATTTCCACTGTGCTGCATTGTTTTCAATAAACCTGGGACAACACCATGTTTATTGAAGCATTATTTACAATGGAATAAATCTAAGTGTCCATCAACAGATGAATGGCTAAAGAAAGTGTGGTATATATACACAATGGAATATTATCCAGCCTTAAAAAAGAAGTAAATCCTGTCATTTGCCACAACATGGGTGAACCTGGAGGACATTATATTAAACTTATTAAGCCAGGCACAAAGAGCCAAATACCACATGATATCACTTATATGTGTAATCATAAAAAGCTGAACTCAGAAATAGAGAGTAGAATGGTGATTACCAGGGGTTGGGGTGTCTGGGGGAGGTGTTGACCAAAGGATATAAAATTTCAGTTAGATAGGAGGAATAAGTTCAAGAGATCTATTGTACAGCATGGTGACCATAGTTAACATAATAACAATATACTACACTCTTCAAAATCGCTAAGAGTAGATTTTAATTCTCACCAGAAATAATAAGTAAGTGATATTATGCAATGTTATGTAGCTTGATTTAGACATTCCATAATGTATATATATTTCAAAACATCATACTGTACATGATAAATATATACCTTTTCTTATCAATAAAAATATTTTTTTAAAAAGGAATGGATTATGGATGCATTCAACAACTTGGATGGATATCAAGAGAATTGTGCTATGTGAAAAAGCCAATTTCAAAAGGTTACATATGATATAATTATACTAAGTAAATATCCCTAAAATGACAAAATTATACAGATGGAGAACAGATAAGTGGTTTCCAGGAGTTAGAGAGGGGATGATGGAAGGGAGGTGGTAGCATTAAGGATCTTCGTTATGAAAGTACTGATCTATATCTTGACTGTAGTGGTGGCTTATGCTTCTACACATATAAAATTGCACAGAACTAAGTACACACAGAAAATAAGTTTAACATAATTAAAATAAAATTATCCAAATCTAAAAAATTAATGTATTTCTGATATATCAGCAACAATCCATCAGAAAATTAATGAACACTTTAAAGTTACACAAGAATAGATTTAAGAAGATGTTATAAAGCTAACAATTAAATATGCATGTTCATGAGAATGAAAAATGTTATGGAATGGCATTGACTAGGCTGTTAGCTGTAGTTAAGGAAATTTTATACAATGGGGCTATTAAGGGATACATTCATTAATTTTTTTCATTTTCTATCTTGGCATCCATCAACTACTTAGGCTAAGATGAGACATTGTTATTTTCATTAAAAACAGTCAAGAGAATAATTACTTATAAGGAAAGAGAAGTTCAGATACTTGATGTGTGGATTTTCAACAACTCACATAATCTCTCTCAGCCTCTAATTTCCCATTCAAATAATCATTGTGCTTACTAGTAATAGTAATGATTATACTTTTTTATATTTATGAAACACCTCTCAGGTAGAGTTCTAAGTACTTCTAGGTGAATTATCTCAATTTATCCTTAGAGACCTAAGACAGCAATATTAGCATTATTCCTGTTTCACTTATTTTTAAATTGAAAATCAACATAGAAACATACGCAGCTAACTTTACGCAATATTCAATTTCTTTTCCAACAGAACAAACTTTCAGATAACATTTTGCTTTCCTATACTAACCTATACTCTTACCTAGCAGGATATGAGTTTGACTAACCATTCTAATTAGTTTACTTTAATCCCTATTGTTAAATTGCTATTCTTGATACTAAAAGGCCTCTAGTGAGTTTGGGTTTCAAAAGGAAGCATGGGCATCCCTGCAGGAGCTGGCAGAAAATCTCTCCAAATGATGAACCTGATGGCTCAAATTCCACAGCTAAAGTCATATAGACAGAAAGTGGGAGTAAGGAATTCAGCAGAGAAAATCAAGCCAAAAGCAAGAGATAGTATGATTTGGTGGGTATGCTTTTTGTAGCAAACAATGATTATGATAATGATGATACATAATGGGGCTCAGTTTTAATTCTACAATGCATGAACTCTATCATTGCTTTTATTAACCTAGATAATTCAAGAAAATTACCTCTGAAAGATGATAATTGTAAGATATTTAGTAAAGTGCGCAGACAGAAGAGAGACCTAATAAATAATAGCTTGCTTTCAGGATGAATAATTAATTTTAAAAAGCAAGTGACATTTAATTTTCATGGGAGGGAGCAGAGCAAGATGGCCAAAAAACCTCCAGCGATCGTCCCTCCACACGAACATCAAATTCAACAACTATTCAAGCAAGCAAGCACCTCCAGAAGAACCGAAAATCAGGTGAGTGATCATACTACCTTGTTTTAACATTGTATCAAAGAAAGAGGCACTGAAGATGGCAGAAAAGACAATCTTGCATGGCCTACACCACCCCTCCCCCATTCCCCAGCAGTGCTGTGCCAGCAAGGCAAGTGGAGAGGGAATCATTGTGCCCAGGGGAGGAAGAGTGAAGTGACTGTGGGACTTTGCTTTGGAAATTAGGGCTGCCCTGGTACAGGGGAACACAGCACAGGGCAGAATTCTGCTGGTTCTCACGGAGGGAGCATTTAAACCAGCCTGGCCAGAGGGAAATCCTCTGCCCTGAAACCAGAGTTCTGCCTAGCTCCACCACCAGCTGACAAAAAGCAGCCTGGGGCCTAGACTAAATTCATAGGGCAGTCAGGAAACAAAGGCTGCAGTCCTCAGGCAATTCCTGCAGCTGTGCTGGCTTGGAACCAGTGGAGTTGGGGTGCATGTGACCCAGTGAGACACCAGTAGGGTCAGCCAAGCCAGTGCCTGTGTTACCCCTCCCCCCGCCCCAACTACACGCAGTGTGGCAGAGAGGCAGAGAGAGAGAGAGAGAGAGAGAGAGAGAGAGAGAGAGAGAGAGAGAGAGAGAGAGACTCCTTCCACTTGGCTAAAGGAAAAGGAAGAGTTCTCTGGACTTTATTTTGCAACTTGGATACCAGCTCAGCCACAGCAAAATTAAGTACCAAGCAGATTCCCAAAGTCCCCAAGTCCAGGCATTAGGTTTTGGATGGCATTTCTGGACCCACCTTGGGCTAGAAAGAAATAGGCTGTCCTGAAGGGAAAAAATGAATCCTGGCAGGATTCACCACCTGCTGACTAAAGAGCCCTTGGACTTTGAATAAACATCAGGGGTAGCCAGGCAAGAGTCACCACAGGCTTTGGATGAGACTGGGCTGGCTTCAGGTGTGAACTGGCTCTGGTGGCCATGCAAGAGTGCCCATGTCACTCCTCCCCCAACTCCAGCAGCCTAGCACAGAGAGTGAGGGAAGACAGTGAGAGACTTTGCCTGGTAAAACAAGAAATTCTCCTCTATTTTACCCATGTCCACCAAGGTTGTAAGTACTACCAGGTGTCTGCAAGAGTCATAGTATTACTGGGCATGGGGCATCCCCAGTGCTGATACAACTGCAGTGACCAAAGAGACGATAACACTCAATTCCCTTTGAATATCTGCAATGCTTTCTCAAGAAGAATGGGTTCAAACAAGGCCAGACTGCAAAAATTAAAATAGATAAACTAACTCTTCAATGCCCAGACATCAATGAACATCCACAGGCATCAAGAACATCCAAGAAAACATGATCTCACCAAATGAACTAAATGAGGTACTGATGATAGGTCCTTGAGTGATGGAGATATGTGACCTTTAGACAAAGACTTGGAAATAGCTGTCTTGAAGAACCTCAGTGAGCTTCAAGACAACACAGAGAAGGAATTCAGGTATTAACTGATCAACACATAAATGCACATATAAGAATAACATCTATTGGATGTCGGGCGGGGGGGGAGGGGGGAG